TGACAGATACCTGTAAATAATGTTATCCAGGTATCTGGGCATCCTGTGACCCAGTCAAGTTGACACATAAAAATAACCATCATTACCAGGTTTCTTAAGAGAAGCCCAGAAATCTAGATTTTTATATGAATTTTTCCAATTTTCAATGGCTAGCAACTAATTTAATTTTATTTTAAAGCATCATGAGTGACAGACAGACCATATCTGCAGACTGGGTCTGGTTCTTGGGTCACCAATTTATAACCTCTAGTCTAAAATATACTACCCACCAGCCTTATTGCACACAGAGGACTACCGGACACAGAGTATATATGAACTGAAAATCTCCAGCAGTGATGTTTGCGTTCTGTCATTCCACCCTTCTTTTCTCGCACTACTCTTTTGGAGCATGTTCAATGTATCTGAGTTGGGTTATAGTTAGGTGATATGGATTGGAAGTGGCTTGTCACTGCTTCTTATATACTGTAAGAATCAGATTTGCCACTGAGTGTGGTGGCAGTTGTATTTTTCTTTTATCTTAGGAGGAGTAGGAGAAATAATAATAATAGCATTTTACTTTTTTTTTTTTTTCTCCTGAAACAGGGTCTTGCTCTGTCACCCACGCTGAAGTGCAGTGGCATGATTACAGCTCACTAGTACAGCCTTGACCTCCTGGGCTGAAGCAAACCTCTTGCCTCAGCCTCCTGAGTAGCAGGGACCAGAGACATACACCACCATGTCTGGCTAATTTTTTAAGTTATATTTTGTAGAGACAGGGTCTCCTATGTTGCTCAGGCTGGATTCAAATTGCTGGCCTCACGCAGCCCTCCCACCTTGGCCTCCCAAAGTGCTGGGATTACAGGCGTGAGCCACCATGCCTGGCCCATTTAAATTTTTTAATTTGCTATATAAAATATATCATTAATTATGTACAGTGCATATACTAATGACTGTTTTACTATGTATTTATTTTTTTACTATATAAAAATAATTTATGCTATGTAGAATAATTGTTTCGTAGCTTTACATGTATTAACTGATTTAGTGCTTACAACTACCCTATGCAGTAACTACTGTTATTATCAATTCCATTTTACAGGTGAGGAAATTGATCATAGAGAAATTAAACAATTTATTGAAGGCTAGAGGGAAGAAGTAGAACCAGGGTTTGAACCCTAGTTTGACTCTAGAGACATACTTATTCTCTTTCTCTCTCTCTTTCTCTTTTTTTTCTTTGAGACAGGGTCTCACTCTGTCACTCAGGCTGGAGTGCAGTGGCCTGATCATGACTCACTGCAGCCTCAACCTTTCAAGGCTCAGGTGATCCTCCTGCCTCAGCCTCCCGAGTAGCTGGGACTACAGGTGCACACCACCATGCCCGGCTAAATTTTGTATTTTTAATAGAGATGGAGTTTCACCATGTTTCCCAGGCTGATCTCTCTCTCTTTTTTTAAGAGACAGGGTCTTGCTCTGCCACCTGGGCTAGAGTGCAATGGTGTGATCATAGCTCACTGTAACTTTGAACTTTTGGGCTCAAGCAGTCCTCCTACCTCAGCCTCCTGAGTAGCTAAGACTACAGGTGCCCACCCCTCCACCTGGCTAATTAAAAAAAAATTTTTTTTTTTGGTAGTAACAAGGTCTCGCTGTGTTGCCCTGGCTGATCTTGAACTCCTGGTCTCAAGCAGTCCTCCAGCTCTAGCCTCCCGTCGTACTGGGATTACAGGCATGAGCCACCATGCCCAGATGTGTTATTATTCCCCCTTGTCTCTCATTCCCCATGTAACTGTTCTCTATTTTCTCACACACCTTACTGATCACCTCCCCTGTGGCTGGGCACTGAGGGGCAAGCACTGCAGAACATGCACAGAATTGGGTTCAGTCCTTATTTCTAGCAGTCACTGTGTAGCTGATATAATGCTTTGACTTTTCATGTGCAAAAATGATGTTAGTGATCATGGTTATCATAATGAAAGGACCGGATAGTTTTTCATTTTTGTACACATTTTATTTAGAAAAATTAAAAACCTTCAGAGAAGTTACAAAAATAGTACAATGAACGCATATAGTCTTTCCCTAGAATCACCAATTACTTACATTTTGCCATATTTGCTTCTCTCTTTCTGAAGCATTTGAGAATTAGTAAAATATTGCATGCCCTAATACATTATTCAGCTTGTGACTCCTGAGAATAAGGGAATATTCTATATAAGCACAATGATCTGTCACTGGCAAAATATTATTATCTAATCCATAGATCTAATCTATGCAGATTTCCCCATTGTTCCAATTTAGTCTTCCATAGTGGTTTTTTGTTTTTCAGGATCCAATCACATATTACATTTTGTTGTCATATTTCTTTAGTCTACTGTACAACCATTTCCTTGACTTTTTTTGTCTTCCATGACATTGACATTTTAAAATATTCTAGACTGCTTGTTTTACGGATATCCTTAAGTTTAATTATTATTCATGTTTGATGGTTCCTACATGTTTAAATTCAGATTTTTAAAAATCTGTAGGAATATTGCTTAGTAAAACTGTATCACCCAGTGTATAACATTTGGAAGTATGTGATGCCATTATTTTGCAGTATTGGTGATGGCACATTTGATCATTTGGTTAAGACTGTGTTCACCAGATGGCTTCATTGTAAAGGTGCCTTTTCCCTTTGTTATAAGCATCCTCTGGTAAGATATTTTGAGATGTATGCGTGTCCTATTCCCTAATAGCCTCTCCCTATTGGTATCCACTGATTCTTGTTTGAATCATTTACTCTTATAGTTTTTGTAAAATGGTGGTTTTTCATTTCTATCTTTCCTTCTACATTTATTAGCTGGATTCTCTGTAAATAATAGCTTTCTCTTGTGTGGTAGGCAGAATAATGGTCCCTTAAAGATGTCTACCTTCTAATTTCCAGAATTTGTGAATATGTTATCTTACATGGCATAGGGTGAATTAAGGTTGTAGATGGAATTAAAGTTGCTAATCAACTGACCTTAAGATAAGGAGATTATCCTGGACTATCCAACTGGGTCCCATGTAATCACAAGAGTTTTTTAAAGTGGGAGAAGGAAGTAGAAGAGGCCAGAGTGTCATCATGTGAAAAAGACTACACCCAACCATGGTTGACTTCAAAGATAGAGGAAGGGGACCATAAGCCATAAGGCAAGGAATGGAAAAGGGAAGGAAAGCCCACAGAAAAGAACACAGCTCTGCCAATTCCTTGGTTTTAGCCTGGTGAGACCTGTGTTCGACTTCTGATGTACAGAGCTGTAAGACAATAAATTTGCCTTACAACAACAAATGTTGTTTGTCACAGCAGCGAAAGAAAACCCATATTTCCTCTCAACTCCTTATCAGTGTGAATACATGGATTCTTTTATAAGTACATTATAATCTATCTCTGTCACTATTCATTTTTATGTTCAAATTGTCTTAAACTTGGCCCTTGAGAGCCTTTTTAAGCTCTTAGTGACATGTCCCTAATCAGTTTTTGATATTTCCCTTTTTTGACATTGGAAGATATTCTAAGACTGTCTTGTTATTCTCACATGATTCTGCAGTGCTTCTTATAATGATACTGCAAAGACAAAGTAATAGTGATTGATCATTGGGGTAACACTGTTACTTGACTTTGAAAGTTTGCCACAAGAATGAAAAGAACGAAGCGATTGACAGTTTAAATGTTAATCCTCCTGTGTCTGCTTTGCATGGTGTTCCTGCCAGTGCTGAGTAAGTAGCAGCAGAGATTTATGAATATCTTCACATAAACTTGAAAAAGAAATTGTTGTCTTTGACTGTAGAGGCTGAATATTGTTCTAGAGTCTGTCCATGAGTGTCTGTATCATTCAGAATTGTTCAATTCAGAATCGTTCAATATGAGGTCCTCTAAAAAAATTCTTCTGCAGAATTCTTAGCTAACTTTTTCAGTTAGTAGTGGTGCATAGAAAGAGATCGAATTCAGTGGTCCAGAGTAAATTATATTGAAATCTCACATGGTTTCAGACTTTCCTCTCCCATAGTGGTCACAAGCGCAAACGCTTACTTGGCCCTGGCAGGAAATGTGATTGAGTGAAGCAGGCCAGGTCCTGTGCTGAACTGAAGAGTATGGCCTGACCCGAATGGGGCAGTTGCAGTTCTCCAGCTGATTCTTGCCATTGGAGAGAAGAAAGCCCAGGTTTCCAGGTTTTTTAAGAGAAGCCTAGAAATCTAGAGTTTTATATGAATTCTTTCCATTTCAGAAGCTAAGCAATGAATTCAATTTTGTTTTTAGAGCACCATGAGAAACAAACCAACCATGTCTACAGGCTGGATTTCATCCTTGGGCTACCAGTTTCTAACCTCTGGTCTAAGATGTACTGGTAATCAGCATTATAGGATACAGAGGGCTATCTAGAGCAGGGGTTTTTAACCTTTTTGGTACAATAGATCCCTTTGGCAGTCTGGAGAAGCCTATGGGCCTCTTCGCAGAAGAATATTTTAAAATAGATTTTAAAAAAGTAAATAATTACAAAGGAAAACATTGTATTGACATACAGTAATGAAAGTATTTTTTAAGAAATTGTGACATGTGCTTTTTTATTAGTGTATTAAATAATACAATCTAGTGAAGGTCTATTAACTACTATAATTTTTAAATACTATGAGAATAAGTGATATTTTGAGATAATTATAACTGTAAAATAATATTAAAATATCTGATGTCTGTCTGTTGGTGGCAGGGTCACAGATAATGTTAATACTGCCGTTTTGTTGCTTAAAATCCTAATTGAAGCCATTGTTAAATTTCATCTAGAAACTAGTGAAAACCAAGGTGCGATTTTTTTCCCCCATCCATGTCTAATGACCTCCAATGAGTCTCATTTTAAGAACTCATGGTCCAAAATATGCTTAACTTATTTGTAATCATTTTAATGGTAGCATATAATGTTATTGAGTATAATTAAGCCACCATGTTACAGTTTATTTTTGTTTTTACAATGAACTTTCTAGTTACTGAACTTGATTCTGGTTTTCTTTAGAACGTTATCATTTGTCTTATAAGATTGTACGAACGGACAGTCGCCTAGTACGCAGCATTCTGACAGCCCATGGATTTCATGAAGTAAGTTTATTTTTACTACCTCACCTGATCTGCTCATAAGCTGAAAATCCTAGCCACCTAACTGACTTTACCAGCTAACAGGGCCGGCTCTAGGAAGTACATGGGACCAATGCTTAGTGATGATCCATAACTCAGATTGAATTTCAGAGTGGCTTTACCAGTTTCTGCTTGCGATACATGGAAAATGTTTCCAGATGATTTCAGAAAAATTTTTTTTCTTGCTTGTTCTTGGGCTTGGGCTAGGGGCACAGTTGCCCATAAGGAATTGTCTGATACCCAGTTAAGGTTGTTTGATTGCAGGCAACTGAAATGGACTTTGTTTAACTTGAAACGGCGGGTGGATCATGAGATCAGGAGATCGAGACCATCCTGGCCAACATGGTGAAACCCTGTCTCTACTAAAAATACAAAAATTAGCTGGGTGTGGTGACGTGCACCTGTAGTCCCAGCTACTCAGGAGCCTGAGGCAGGAGAATCGCTTGAACTTGGGAGGTGGAGGTTGCAGTGAGCTGAGATCACGCCACTGCACTCCAGCCTGGGTGACAGAGTGAAAACCCCCCCCCAAAAAAAAAAAAAAAAAAACCAAAAGGGATTTTTCAGAATGGTGTGCAGAGGGGACCAGCAGAATCAGAGAAAAAGCTGAAAAGGCAGGCATTTGGAAGGAGAGAGACCAGGACAGCCCCAGGGATCTAGGAACAGGAATCTTGAGGATCATCTTCTCAAGGCACTGCCATGGACATGGCTGGACTCCATTCATTGTCCTTTTGCCTTTCCTTGCTCAAAAATCACGTTCTGGAGATAGAATGATTGGCCTAGCTTGGCTTTGGATCCACTCCTTGTGGGAGGGGATGGGTGGGTGATTGGCAGGTTCTTGAAAATCAGGGAGTAAGTCATTCTCCAAAGAAAGTTGGAAGATTGGAATGTTAACATCGAAAAGGACAGGCGAAAAGGCTGAACAGACTTCCACCATAGATACTTTGTGACAATTGATAAAAGTCTGGTTCCTCGCTTGAGGTTTGTAAGAGATATTTTGAGGAAGTTCTTTTTTAAAAAATTTTTTATTTTTAGAGACGGAGTCTCATTGAGTTACCCAGGCAGGGGAACAGTGGCATAATCGTAGCTCACTGTAGCCTTGAACTCCTGGGCTCAAGTGATTCTCCTGCCTCAGCCTCCCAAGTAGTTGGTACTACAGGTGCATGGCACCACTCCTGGCTAATTTAAAAAAATTTTTATTTTGTAGACACAGGGTCTTACTGTGTTGCTAGGCTAGTCTCAAACTCCTGAGCTTACGCGATCCTCCCACCTCGGCCTCCCAAAGTGCTGAGATTACAGGCATGAGCCACCGCACTTGGCCATGAGGGAAGTTCTGATACCAGTTTGTATCCTGTCTTGTTGCTGTTTTATTTCTGGCACTTAACATGGTGCCTCATTGTTGAATTAATGGACAGAAGAATTTTAATGGATGAATGAGTGAATTCTAAGTTGGTGTACTCCTATAAGGTTTATCTCTGATCAGCACTTCATACTCAGTATCTGCAAGGATAAGGACAGCCTGAGAAAGAAATACAAGAATATTAAGAGATATCATGGACTTCTATAGAAGGGTTAATTTATTTTGGTTTCTGCATTTGGGATTTGCCCAACCCTCCTATTCTTTAAACTTGTTCTACGATGCACTGCTTTTGTCTCACTAGGCTCATGTACTAATTGGGCCACCCCCATGAGTACACTATGGATGAAAAAATCACTGTGGCTTTTTCTGCCATTGCTTTTCCTGGAGAAGGGGTATCTCTGATGTTTTTTTGCCTGTTGTCTTTCTGTCTGCCCTCAGGTTCACCCAAGCAGCACTGACTATAACCTAATGTGGACAGGATCCCACCTGAAGCCCTTCTTACTGCGCACCCTCTCTGAAGCACAAAAAGTTAATCACTTTCCCAGGTAATACTCTTTGTAGCTGCTTTGCTTCATTTAAAGGTACGTGATGTTGGGGCATGTAGCCAGCAGAGGTAATTAATGTCCTTAAAGAAGAGGGAGAAGAAAATAAAGTAGAAGAAGACTTTTTTTTTTTTGAGACGAGTATCGCTCTGTCACCCAGGCTGGAGTGCAGTGGCATGATCTTGGCTCACTGCAACCTCTGCCTCCTGAGTTCAAGCAATTCTCCTGCCTCAGCCTCCCCAGTAGCTGGGATTACAAGCTTGCGCCACCATGCCTGGCTAATTGTTGTATTTTTGGAAGAGACAAGGTTTCACCACGTCGGCCAGGCTGGTCTCAAACTCCTGACCTCAAATGATCTGCCCGCCTTGGCCTCCCAAAGTGCTAGGATTACAGGCATGAGCCACCACGCCCAGCCAGAAGAAATTTTTCTGGTACAGAACAGTACTCTGCAAATCAAACTGTTGTGTTCATATCCCTGAGCATGCGTGAACACTTTCTAAGGGCTATATAGACATGGATGGTTTTAAAGGAGATAGTTTCTGATTCTCTTTCCTAAAATTGAGCTGCTTGGGAGTACCTCATGATGGTGGGTTTGCCTTTCTTACTTCCCCTTCACAGTTACTGTTTTTTCACTTTTATTAAAGAATGGCTCACCTAGAATCTTAGTCTGGTATGTTGTCCTTAGGTGTAGAAATTTTCAGGGTTCCAAAGAAAGGTAGAAAAAAATTCGTGTCTAATTGAATTCTAGTAATAGCATAACAAATCCTTTTTGCATGATGGTAGTTTCTATTTCTTTGTTTTTAAAATAATTGAAGGATGATATAATCTAGCTTTTAGCTGATAGATCATTAAACATAATTTTAATGACTGATCATTTTGTGATTTTTGATGTATAATTAGGAAGGAGTTCACAGAATTGAGTGTCATTGGTGTTTGGATGAATTGTATACTACAATACTTGGAATGATAATCAGTTATGTATATATAAACAGTTATAGCCTTATGATCACAGGGAATTAAAAATATTATATTTCAATTCCTATGTGTAATTTTGCTGTAGAGAAGGTATGATATGATGTAAAAGACAAGTATTAAATATGTTAGGGTAACCTGTTGTTTGTGGGAAATGAAATGGAAGAATTAAAAACAAGAGTGACTGAGGGATAGTGGCTGTGTGGCGGTCTAAGGGAGGCTTTTCTGGTATGCTGGGAATGTTCTATACACAACCTGAGTGGTGGTTACACAGGTGTGTTCACTTTGTCAACATTCATTATGCCCTGCCTTGTACTTTGTATACTTTTCTGTACATATGTTAACTTCATTAAAAAGCATATTTTAAAAAGTGAAAATTTTACTGACAGAAAGCTTTTCCTTTAATGACATTTAAAAAATGAGGTATTGAATCTTTATGTTATTTAGGTTCCCTTCAGTATACTTAAAAGTGTGGTGTTGGCTGGGTGCAGCGGCTCGTGTCTGTGATCCCAGCACTTTGGGAGGCCGAGGCAGGCAGGTCGCTTGAGCCCAAGGAGTTGGAGACCAGCGTGGGCAACATGGCAAAACCGTGGCTCTAAAAAAAAAAAAAAAATTTAGCTGGGCATGGTGGCATGTGCCTAGCAACTTGGGATGCTGAGGTGGGAGGATCACCTGAGTTTGGGGTGGTCAGGGCTTCAGTGAGCTATGATTGTGTCACTGCACTCCAGCCTGGGCAACACAGAGAGACCCTGTCTCAAAAAAAAAAAAAAAAAAAAAAAAAGAAAAAAAAAGATTGGTGTTATACTTTTGTCTTAAGGTAATATTTATCATTCATCAGGTTCTTTGGAACAATTTAATTTATGATGAAAAATCTTACATGTCAGCTTAAACATCCAATATAGTTTCCCCAAATTCTAGGATGTACCAAGCAAAGAAGTTTGAAAACCACTAATGTGGGGCATCTGTGGGAGAATGCATTCTTTTCCTTACCCTCTGGTTCAGTGTTTCTAATTCCCTAATGATAAGAATTACCTAGGGTGCTTTTGCAAAATATGCATTCTCAGGTCCCATTGCAGATTCATAGAATTTACCATCTCCAGAGAAGGTGCATATTTAAGCACTTTCTAGGTACCTTACCTTTCCAGGTAAATATGTACCTGGAAAGCTATATATTTAAAAAACATTGAGGTAATTTGTAACAGGGAAGTTAGGAAATTACTGTTGTAGATTAAATCAGCAGTTAGTGTGGGTCCTGGACTGTCTGTATCAGAATCTTCTGGGGTGTTTGTTTAAAATGCAGAATCCTGGGCTTCATCCCAGAATTTTGAGAGGTGAGACCTGGGTCTCACATGCATTTTTTAGGAAGTTCTCTAGGTGATTCTTATTATGTACACTAAAAATTGAGTACCTCTGCTCTGGATTTCAGAAGAGGGCCATAGATAAGAAAGAAATGTTTGTGGTACCTAGATTTAACAAAGCAGTTTTTGAAATCATAGAAAGGAATTTGAACTGTGGAACAGGTTGAATAAGTTTTTAATGATTACTACAAAGGTTCTTAGTTGATTTTGAAGGAGTGGAACAAATCATAGACCAGTGAGTCCAGTCGAGGCTAACCAAAGTGCCTTTTTGAAGTACTATACACAAGAATGTACCCCTGATATAAAAGTAATTACTGCCTTGGTTTTAAGGCACTAATTTTCCTGATTTTCTTTATAACTTTGCCTCTTCTATATCCATCACTCAATGATGTAGTTAAGTTCTCAACGGGGTTCCTAACCTGGGTCTTTACTATAATAGGATCATTATACTCTAAAGTTAAGGCTTGTCTTGCGTCCCATTCAGGAGGGTCATTTCAGGCCTGTGGTGCTAGTGATGATATGAGTTCCACATAGTTACATGAGAGGTTGGACAGTTATTGCTATGGCAATAGATATATCAATATGAATTAGATAACCATGTGTTTGATTTTCCTGGACAGTCTTTTAAAAAAAATATGCTAAATGCTTTTCCCCCTAAGAACAAATTAAGAAAACATCTCAGAAATTCTGATGTTTTAGTAGTTAATCTTTCTCAATTTACATTCTACTTAGAATTAACTCAGAATTTTTTTTGCCATGTTGTGTTTCTCAGAAGGTCACATCTGTAGATACCTGTGGTATAAAAACTTCTAGAATGCTTTGGTCTGGGAGCTTGCTTTTAGTTGGAGTACTGGTGTTTTTTTCACTATCTGATTAATCCAAATGTTTTTATACTATTAGAGAATCATGATTCCATTAAAGTAAAACACACAGGGTTCCTAAAATATTTTATAATGATTTGTAATAGTGAATAGTACAGACTTTGTTGAAGCTTTTGGAGCTAGAATTTCTTTCACAGGTTCGTTTTTTATAACCCGAAATTTTGGGTATATTTATCAATAGTCAAACTTATTTTGTGTTGTTTACTTATATTTGAAATCTGTTTTAGAATAGATTTTTATACTTGTGAATCAATTTTTAAAAACCCATTTGAAATAAGGGTCATAGACCTAAAAATAAAACATAAACTGTAAAACTTATAGAAGAAAACAGAGTAGAGAAGACCTTTGCAACCTTGTGTTAGACAAAGGATTCCTAGATACAGCAATAGAAGCACAGTCATAAAAGGAAAAAATTGATAAATTTGACTTTTTAAAAATTAAAAATATCTGCTGTTTGAAAGACACTGTTAAGAAAATGAAAAAACAAGCTATGAACTGGAGAAAATATTTGCAGAACACGTAACTGATAAAGAATTTGTGTCCAGAATATATAACAAACTCTTAAAACTCAATCATAAGGAAACAAACAAGTTTATTTTTCAAAATGGGTAAAATATCTGAATGGATGCCTCACCAAAGAAGATACAGGGATGGCAAATAAAAGATGCTTATGAAAAATGCTCAGTGGCATTAGTAATTAATGGAATACAAATTAAAACTATACGAAGTATCAATATATCCATTAGAATGGCTAAAAACAAAAACCAGAAGACACTGAGTGTGGGCCAGGATGCATGGCAACTGGAACACTTTTGCTGGCGGGAATGCACAGTGGTATAGCCACTCTGGATAACTGTGATCTTGTGAAATATGTAGTTAGTCTTCCTCGTGTTTCCTGACATATAACTCCTTGACTCCTTGGAATCTCCAGAGTGAGAAGTGTCCTTTTATATACTAATGACTTAACTGGTGCCTGGCTGTCCCTAGGTAGCTTCAGGATGGGAACTGGTTACAAGAAAAGACCAAGGTGTGATTAGAGGTTTAGGACTTCCAGCCCACACCTCAGCCTCCAGGAAGGAAAGAGGGGCTGAAAGCTAAATTAGTCACCAGTGTCCAATCAATTATGCTTGTGTAATGAAGCTTTCGTAAAACCCCCAAAGGACTGGGTTTGGAGAGCTTCTGGGTAACAGAACACATGGAGATTCTTGGCCAGTAGTGTGCCCGGAGAGCACATAGAGGTTCTGCGCCTCTTATCTCATACCTCACCCTGTGCTTCTCTTCCTCTATATCCTTTGTAATATCCCTTTTAATAAACCAGTAAACATAAGTGTTGCTCTTAGTTCTGTGAGCTGCTCTAACAAATTAATTGAACCCAAAGAGGGAGTTGTAGGGACCCCTATTTACAGCCAGGTGGTTAGAAGCACAGGTAAAACAACTTGGGGCTTGCTATTGGCATTGGAAGTGGGAGGCAGTTTTGTGGAACTGAGCCTTTAACTTGTGGGAACTGACACTATCTCCAGGTAGGTAGGGTCAAAATTGAGTTGAATTAGAAGACACTCACTGCAAGATTGCTTGCTTTGTGTGTGGGGAAACCCCCTACACATTTGGTGTCTACAGTGTTGAGTGATTATGTTGAATTGAGATTACAGAGTAGGAAAAACACTTTGGTTTTTCCTCAGTATCTCAGAATATAGCAGGAGAAACGGAGCTTGTTTTTCCAATATCCTCAGAATCACATTTGGCAGTTTATTATAAAGTTTAACATACACTTATGTGGTGATTGTAAAATGTGTCCATAAATTCTTTGACATTGCTTTCAAAAAGTTGAGCTTAATTTTTCTGTTCTTGAGTGTTGACTAGATTTAGTGACTTGCCTCTAACTAGTGGAATATGACAGAAGTGACTATCGCTTCTGAGACTAGATTGTAAAAGACATTACAGCTTCTTGCTCACTTTCTTGGATCACTTGATTTGGGAGAAACCAGTTATCACATCTTGAAGGCACTTGGCCTTATGAAAAGGTTCATGTGGGGAGGAACTGAGGCCTCCTGCAAGCAGGCAGCCCCATATGAGTGATGAGCCATCTGGAAGTTGGGTTTTCCATCTGCTCTTGAGCCTGATGACTGCAGTGCTGGCCAGTATCTTGACTGTAACCTCATAAAGGACCTTGGGACAGAACTACGTAGCCCTCTCACTCCCACATTCCTGGCCCCAGAAACTATGAGGTCATAAATATTTATCGTGATTAAATTTTAAGCTGCTGTATTTTAAGGTAATTTGTTGTACAACAATAAATAACTAAAACAACTTACTGAACAACGAAGTGGTCCCACTTCTAAAGAAATAAAAACTTACGTTTACAGTAAAACTTACAAAAACGTACATTCATATAAAAATCCATATGGAAATGCTTTATAGCAACTTTGTTCATAATCTCCAAAAACTAAACAGCCCAAATGCCTTCAACTGATGAATGGATAACTGTGGTACATCTATACAGTGGATTACTACTGAGCAAGAAAAGGGACAGAATACTGATACAACAACAACGATAAATTTCAAATGGGTTATGCTCCGTGAAAGAAGCTAGTCTCAAAAGGATACACACTGTCCGATTCCACTTATTTGACTTTCTGGAAAAGGCAAAATTATAAGGACAGAAAACAAATGAATGTTTTCCCAGGGGCTGGAGGTGATTGGGAGGGTCCACTACAGGGGGACTTGAGGTAACTTTTTGGGATGTTGAAACTGTTGTTTATCTTGATTGTGGTGGTGATTACATAATTGTATGTGTTTGTCCAAACTCATAGAATTACACGTTAAAAAGGGCAAATTTTATGGTATGGAGATTTTATCTTAATGAAAAAATCTGACCAAAAAACCCATTTGATAAAAATGATTAATAAGCCTTTGGATTAACAGTGATATGTTTAGGATATAATACTGTCTTCACTAACTGGTCTAAGACTGTGAACTCTAACTCTTTAGAATGTGCACAGGAAAATTCTGAGTCATGGTTTACTGAATGGAATTACTTATTTGATTTTTTAGGTCTTATGAACTTACCCGGAAGGATCGACTGTACAAAAACATTATTCGAATGCAGCATACACATGGATTCAAGGCTTTTCACATCCTCCCCCAGACCTTCCTCCTGCCAGCTGAGTACGCGGAATTTTGTAGTAAGTGCTTGACAGAGAATGCCCCAGTCCCCAGCAACTGAACCTGGGGAATAGTTACCCCAAAAGCCGCCTCAAGGTGTCAACCAATCAGGGCTTTCCAAATCCTTAGACAACTGTGACTCTTTAGTAAAACAGTTGCAGAGGTAACTTTAAAAACTATTTTTATTCTGATATGCTCGATAAACTTGTCAGTATTATTTTTGTAAGGACACGTTGGCATCATATAAGCATGCCCCTTACGTATTTTTGCTTGATGTCCCTTCTCTCTATTGATGACTTAGTGCCTATGTAAGGATTTTTTTTGTTTTTTTTTTAGAGAGACAGAGTCTCCCTCTATAGCCTAGGACCGCAGTGGCACGATCATGGCTCACTGCACTCTTTGCTTGCTGGGCTCAAGTGATCCCTCCTCCTCAGCCTCCCAAGTAGCTGGGAATACAGGCGTGCAGCACCAGGCTCAGCTAATTTTTAAATTTTTTGTAGAGATGGGATCTTGCTCTGTTACCCAGGCTGGTCTTGAACACCTGGGCTCAAAGAATCCTCCCCTCTCGGCTTCGCAAAACTCTGAGATGACAGGCATGATCCACCACACCTGGCCTGTGAGGATACTTTATATTCCTGCATATGAATTATACATGCTTCCTTTTCAGTATCCCTTTTTCCCTTGCCATTTAAGAAACGTTCTTTCAGCCTCGATTTCTAGTCTTGTGTAATTTATGTTCTTTGGGAGTAGAGATATCACATATCTTTGGATGTTAGGGTTTGGAGCTACAAGTTAGTCACATTCTCTCCCCTTTGAGTTCAGACTAATAAAAAAAAAATACACATGGGAGCCAAATAGGCATCTAAGTGTCAGCTGTATGGCTGGTAAAGTGATACAGAAACACATGGCCTGGATCCAGATCTAAAGTGGGCTTCTTATTTCTTTTGCATCATTGTGAACTTACCCACCCAGGCCAGGCAGAGGCACTGCGCTGGTTTCAGGCTTTCCTCCACAGGGGCAGAGCCTGACTCACTAAGCTTAGTGCACGAAAGAGACATGAGTACAGATGAGATGTGAGGCAGGTCTCTTGTGAAAGTCCAAATTACAGTGGTAATAACTAATACTTACTGAATGTTTCCTTTCTGGTAGGCACTCTTTTAAGTGGCACCTCTACTGTGGTAGTATTATAGATGAGGCGACTAAGGTGCAGCTTGGTTAAGAAACTTTCCATGAGTTATGCAGTTTGCAAATGGTAGAATTAGGGTTCAAACTGGCAGTTTGGCTTCAGAGGCCATGCTCTTCATCTCTTTGCTTCATTGCTAATGGCACTGGGTAGCGTGCATGCAGTGACCATTCCCCAGTAGCACCAGTGTGAGAGAAGTCACTTCTCCCATGAGGAACATCAGGTGAGACGCACAGAGAGGACAGTTTTCCTCCCAAGAAGTCCAAGAAAGAGACTATTTCTGTTTTATGGATAGACGAAGTAGCATGGGGAAAAGAGAGAGTTATCTCTAGACTTCCTGACTTTTGATTCTTTTAACCTGTTAGGCTTGCCAGTCTCTCTGGGTCACCTAGTGAATTGTTCCATATTTTGGCAGAGGAGACCAGCAGTTCATCAGGAACGCCTGCTTCACCATTTATCTAATAGCATTTGTTGCTCTGGCTGGGGCCATTGGTTGGCAATTCATTGTCTGCCCACAGATGGCTCTGCAGTGGGTCACATAGAGCTCTAATTAAATGAATGAACTTCGAGCTTCAATGCACTCAAAGCTGCAAATTTGTAGTTAAGGAAATTTTTGCTATGTGACTTTAGCCAAGTTACTCCAACTTCTGTGCCTTAATGTCCGCATCTATAAAATGGGAGTATTGTTGGTGCTGACCTTATAATGTTGTCAAGATATTTAAGTAGGTTAATATGTGGAAAGCACTTGGGATGGTGCCTGATAGGGGTGGCTTGATAAATGTTTAATATTATTTCCTATTTCAGGCTATGTTTGTATTATTAGTAGTAGTTATGTTTACTAACTATATTAATACTATGTTTTTACTATGTTTTACTATTTTACTTTTAGTATGTTATGTTTAACTACTAACTAAACTTGTAGTTATGTTATTAATAACTACTATTGATTAGTATTAGTTAAAATAATACTAATTAATAGTATTATGTTCTGGCCCTCTAGTGCTTGAGTGTGGGCAGTAGGAAGTTTTTTTGGAAGGAAAGGGACACCATAAACAGACTGGCCTTTAGAAAAATAACTATGTGAAGGCCGGGCGCGGTGGCTCACGCCTGTAATCCCAGCACTTTGGGAGGCTGAGACGGGAGGATCACAAGGTCAGGAGATCGAGACCATGGTGAAACCCCGTCTCTACTAAAAGTAGAAAAAATTAGCCGGGCGCAGTGGCGGGCGCCTGTAGTCCCAGCTACTCGGGAGGCTGAGGCAGGAAAATGGCGTGAACCTGGGAGGCGGAGCTTGCAGTGAGCCGAGATTGCGCCACTGCACTCCAGCCTGGGCGACAGAGCGAGACTCCATATATATATATATATAGAAAAATAACTATGTGAAATGAGTTGGCAGAAGCAGAGAGAAGAAAATGGTGATCTCTTTGAAGGTTACTGCAGTGATGTGGATAAAATGGATAGGTATGAGTAGAAAGAGTGCGAGAACAAACAGTACTGCCTGTGTATGGGAAGTGAGGCAGGGGTCAAAGAGGCATCCTAAGGTTTGAGTATGAGAAGCTAGGAAGACCATTGGGTTTTTTTACCAGGGAATGTAACCAGGAAGGCAAAGGAGGAGCTGTTAAAGGGGAAGAGGAATGTTACGTTTTGGACAAGGGATGGATTTGGATTTTAATGGGGCATCCAGGTAGTGTGTTTTGTAGGCAGTTGTAAGAGCAGCTTTGAGTTCTGGCCAGAGATGTAGTTTCTGGAAGCTACAGGTATGGAGATGGATGTGATTACTAAGGGAGAGAAAAAAAGAAGCAGCACCACAGAGAATCAGAGAGGAAAGGGAGATTGAAGAGGAACAAGGGAATGAGGTCTCAGAGGAGGCAGGAGAGGGTTAAATCAAGAACCCAAGTAGAAGGGTGAGCATTAGAAAGAGAAGTGGGCATGTGTCTCCTGAAAGAGGAGAAGGAATAAGACTAAGTTGATGACCCAGATAACATTTTAGATGGAGAGGAAAGCAGGTAAATAGGTTTGTTACAAATTCCTAGCCTTCTTGGTGAACAGGTTGATGAGGTCTTGTGCCAGGATTGAGGGGCCTAGGAATGGGTGGGTGTCTAAAAAGGCAGAAAGCGGTTGAAATAGCCTCTGCAGGGCCTTTGAAAGAGAACTGATAAGGATTGGACATGAGGATTGCCTAAAAACACTAGAGACAACAGCCAAGGTGGTCTCATGAATTTATAGCTTTTTGTTCTAATAAGAGAAAACCTGTAAAGATATAGCCTAGAGACCAATCACTGTCTCCAGAGATGTGAAAGCCTGGGTACTCCCCAAACTATTCTCAGTAACTTGAGTGTAGGAGTTGGAATACATGGTACACTGGTCTATCTAGGCTCCTGGTGCCATCACTGCCAGTTACAGTATTTAGTAGAATAGAATTAGAGGTCTGTGACCCTGAAGACGCTGACTAAAGCTCTTTTGCCAACTCTAGCCATTCCCCTCAAGGGGATAGCTTTCTAAGCAGAAGGAAGAAAGAAGCAACAAAGAAGAAGATGGGGTGATACCAGTATCATAAAAGCAAAACTTTCCCCAGAATTGGGCTCTATGGCCATCTCTAGTTGTAAGAGAGACTGAGAAATGATTCTAACATGTGAATTTCCATGTCCACCAACTAATTACAGATGACTAGATTTCAAAGCAATGGGTAAATATGTAGAATTACAATTTTAGCGTTATAAGAGATCTTAGCAAATCAGGCTAAATTTTTAAAATCTCATTTTAAAGGTAAGACTAGATGATTTAAGCACATTACCTCTAGAGTCATATATTTGAAAAGCCAGAATTGCAACTCAGATCTTTCTACTCCAGGTTCATTGCTGTTTCTGTTAGACCAAGCCTGCTGCCACTGTAGGAACTGGAAAGCACTTGAAAGAACTGGGGAACCTGTTTAGTACATCTTCATCCTGAAGCAGAGGCTCCTGAGCAAGTCTGCCTGGCCTTTGCCTCTGATTTTTCTTGCTTCCTACCCACATATTTAGAACCTGTAAGAGAGAACAATCCTTGTTCTGAAAATATCACAAGTCAAGGAGAAAAGACTAGCCTGAAAGACAAGTCTTTGATATTTACAATTTCAAGAACATTTAGGATTTCAGTCATAGTGAAGCACCAGAAGAAGCATTAACTTATTTTTTTGGGGGGACAGAGTCTCGCTGTGTTGCCCAGGCTGGACTGCAATGGCTTGATCTCGGCTCACTGCATCCTCTGCTTCCTGGGTTCAAACAATTCTTCTGGTTCAACCTCCTGAGTAGCTGGGATAACAGACGTGCACCACCACACCTGGCTAATTTTTGTATTTTTAGTAGAGACGGGGTTTTACCATGTTGGCCAGACTGGTTTCAAACTCCTGACCTCAGGTGATCCACCCGCCTGGGCCTCCCAAAGTGCTGGGATTACAGGCGTGAGCCACCGCACCCAGCCAGAAGCATTAACTTCTGATAAGCCTAGTTCGCAAAGTAGAGGGTACTGTCTCCAGACAGCTTTGACCCCTTCCCTTCGCTTCCCTGCCCTGCCCTGCCCTGCCTTGCCCTACCCTGCCCTACCTTCCCTTCCCCTCTCCTTCCGTCCCCTCCCCTCCCCACCTTCTGTCCCCTTCCTCCCCAGCTTCTTGTTCTCTCACCCAGGCTGTAGTGCAGTCATAGCTCACTGTCTCCTCAAATTCCTGGGCTCAAGTAATCTGCTCACCTCAGCCTTAGAAGTAGCTGGGAACGCAGCCATGCACCACCATGTCTGCTAATTTTTTTATTTTCCGTAGAAACAGTCCTGCTATGTTGGCCAGCCTGGTCTCGAACTCCTGGCCTCAAGGGATCCTCCTGCCGCAGCCTCCTAAAGTGCTGGGATTACAGGTGTGAGTGAGCCTGTTAATAACTAGCCTGGTCGTTTTCTTAGACATTTCTATAGAACCTTGTACTTCCTTTTTATAACTCTCATTGTCTGTAATTACTTGTTCAATGTCTGTTTTCTCGGCTAGTCTAATCTTCATGACGGTAAAGACTGTATTTTTTATCACTGTGCACCCCACACCTAGCAAACTGATAGACACAGATTAGATACTTAGAGGTATTGAATGAGTGACGTTTGGAAACTGTTGTTTTTTTTTGTTTTGTTTTAATATTAATAGCTTCTTGCTCAGGCATTCTGTTCAGTCTGCTCAGTATCTGGGGAAAATGGCAAAGTGAAAAAAATGCATAAACTGAATACACATACATATATTCAGTGGCCTCACTTTATGGAAATTTATTTTTTTTGTCATATATAACTATAAATATGTCTTTTAAGCAGGACTTTAAAATTATATAAATTATACTTTTTGAAAGGTAATATATTCCCATGGTACAAAAGAAATTCCAAAACAAGCATCAGTGAAAAGTCTCTTTTCTCCTCTTGTTCCTTAGTCATCCCGTTTTCCTCCCCAGAGATGATCAGTGTTACTAGTTTTTTACATACTCTCTAGAGATATTCTTTGCATTTACTAGCAAATAACTTGCGTGTGTACATAAACAGATGGGCATATATAACATACATTGCCCTGCACTGTCTGTTTTTTTATTTGACAGGCTATCTTCAAGATCATTCCATATCACTTCATTAATAACGTTCTTTTTTTGTGTGTCTGCTTAATATTCCATTGTGTAGATTCGATGTCTACAAACTATATCCCTTGAGTGAAATTGGTCTTCTGCCAGTTTTTGTGTGTCCCACAAGCTAAGGACCATTTTTAAATGGTTGGAAAGAAATCAAAAGAAGAATAAAATTTTGTGGTGTGTAGAAATCATATGAAATTCAGTGTTCATACATAAAATTTTATGTAAACAGCCACACCCCTTTGTTTACATATTGTTTGTGGCTACTTTCAAGCTACAACTGCAGAGTTAGATAACTGCCACAGAAACTGCATGGCCTGCAAAGCCTAAAATATTTGTTCTCTGGCTTTTTACAAAAATAGTTTGCTGACCCTTCATACAGATGCATTGTAGTGTATTTAATTAATATTTTGCTGTTATAACACAGCATTGAAAATTTTATATGTGCAGTATTTTATACATGTGTGAGTAGAACTAGAGGATATAGTTCTAGAAGTAGAATTGCTCACAGAGTTTTAAATTCTGTGCGGCACATTAAATTTTTTCTAATTCTGTTAATTCTGCATCAAGGGAAAAGGCAGAGGAAGATGGGGGAGAGTGAACAAAAGATCTCTTTCTTCCTGCTGAAATGGTTTGTGGCATTGACAAAGTCAAGTTTGTTTGGGAGGCCTTAAAGAGACTGGCTCATGTCAGAGGGAGAGGAAAGAAAAGGAGACAAGTAGTTGCTGGCAAGTCATCTGGGAAAAGGAGCTGAGCCTAGAGAGCTCCTTCTGAAGGCCTGCCTGGTATAGGCCCAAATGCAGTGTAGAGGGAAGTGTGCAAAACTTCAGGACTCCAGTGTCTGAAAGTCTTGTTCTGATATTAGAGCCCTAGAAAAGGACTTGCCTCTTAATAACTCTAATCAGAGGAGCAGAAACTATAGGGAACTTTCTTAGGTTTATATTGTTGTATTCTAGATAAACTGGTACTGATATCTTGGCGCACAGCAACCTAGGCAATTTGGAAAAAGGAAGTCTTTGTGAGATCTGCTCAGAAACATTTGCATTTGCTTGGTTTATTTCCCCATACTACCCTTTCTCTCCTCTTTCATTGAAGAAAAATACCAACAACAACAAAAAAAATTCTCTCAGTTTTTACCTTTCAGCCCATCTTGCTTTGAAACAGTAATGACTGCTGCCACCTGACGTATTTCATCAAAAGTGGAAGAGGCACAGTTGGGACCAGTGCTCCCTCTCCAGTCTGGGATGTGAGAATCAGCAGCACTGAGAGCTCTAGCCTGCTTCTCTCCCCTGACTTCTGACACTACCTAAGTGGAAGACAGAGCTGCTTCTCCTCAGACCACTTGCAAGCCTCTGGGAGGCTTAGTGTCAGTTGTCTGCTTTCTCTTTTCATGATCCAAAGGGATTTAAAGTATAAAGCTGAACCTGGGAAAGGAACAGGACACATCGTACCTTTTAATCGCTTGTAAATGATTGTCCTTCGTCTCCACTGGCACATTGCTTGATTTAAGGCGCATTTTTTTTTTTTTTATAAGCTTGGAGGAAATATTTAAGGAGAGTAGCTGTATTATAAGATCTAGATTTTGGCTTACATTGACACTGTTTGCCTGAGGTCCTCTATTTAACAGAGGTAGGAATTTCATGATGGTTCTTTGTGACAATAATAGACTAACATCCAGATGTTTGCCTTCTTTTGTTTTCATCTTTTCATTCAAGAAAGAGGGGAGGCTGGGCATGGTGTCTTCTGCCTGTAATTCCAGCGCTTTGGGAGGCTAAGGTGGGAGAATCGCTTGAGGTCAGGATTTCAAGACCAGCCTGGGCAACATAGAGAACCCCCATCTCTACAAAAAGTTAAAAACAATCAGCTGGGCATGGTGGCCCATGCCTGTAGTCCCATTAACTCAGGAGGCTGAGGTGGGAGGACTGAGCCCCAGAGGTTGAGGCTGCAATAAGCTATGGAAGCACCACTGCACTCCAGCCTGGTCAACAGAGCAATACCTTGCCTTAAAAAAAAAAAAAAGGGAAAGAAAGAGGGGAAATGGTGGAAGAAATTATTATGGGAGTGGTTTTGCTGGCCTCTTTTCTCCTCCCTCCTTCCCTCCGTCTATTTTTATTTTTAAGGCAAGTCCAAAAATATAGGTAATTTTAGTTACTGCCCAACACGTAGAAATTTGTAAGATTTTTGGGTTCCCGGAGTAGATAACCCTTGTTGAAAGTTGATATAATAAACTCAAGTTCATTCTTTTTCTTTGTTTCCTCCGTTTTTTATCTCCCAATATTTTGAGCAGATTCATATTCAAAGGACCGGGGACCTTGGATAGTAAAACCAGTGGCATCTTCTAGGGGGCGGGGCGTCTACCTGATCAACAATGTAAGTATGCAGCAGATGGCAGACCTCTTTCCTCACTTGTTCTTTCCTCCTTCACCCTTTGTACTGGTTACTAATATAGTTCCATTTCATTAAGAGCGGGTGTGCTCTTCTTAAATCTGCATTCAGAAATGAGTTGAGGGTAGGTATGAGTTGACTTGTTTGCCTTACTGGCAGGAATCTTCTGCACCAGCAGTTACTCCAGAGGTACCTTTTCTGCTTTTAGCATATTGTGATGTTAATTCCTACACACCAACTATTAATTGGTAGCATATGTGTTTAGAGTCTGTTGTGAGCAGAACTGTGGGTTCTGTTCTCAAGGTTATCAAACAAGTGAACCTCAATTTGGTATGGCTTCTTCGCTACTGCTGCTACGTCTCCTTTCTCCTCCTTTCTCCTCCTTGCTTCCCTCTTTCTGCTCTTCTTCCTCTCATTTCTCCTCTTCTTTTTTCAAAAGCCATCATTATCTTGATTCTTTGCAAAATTCTCATTAAAAGTTGTCTTACATAGAATACATATACATGGTAAATAAAATCCCTACTGGTCTCACTCCCTAGACGTATAATAGTAGTTAGTAAGTTTAGTTGATTTATGTTTCTTTCATTGACATTACATTGTATTTGTTAATTCCCAGTTTGGCATTTATTGCATTTACATCATGTCCCACCCTCCCTTGCACATTTGTTTGATTAGTTTTTATGTTTATGTTTTAAACATTTATAACAGAGTCTCTTCAGTAACTATGATTCAGTTTCTTTATTTTATCTGTAAGTTGAGTAAAACATTTAAACTCAGTGGAAACAAACTGTTGAACTCTGGAAGGGGGAAATGTTAGGATGTTAGGATAGGTAGCTAGGCAGACATGAGCCGGGCATGAGAGGGCCACCACCACCACCAAGGAGTGTCAGGTTATCATCAGGTGATGGTCAGGCAGTTGTTAAACTGGTTTCTCTAAAATAATAATTGGTAGCAGCATATGCCAGGGAAAGGCAGGCTCCTAACAATAGAAAACACCTGAAGCTGGTGATTAGCCATTTCCCAATAAGATCTCAGGAGTTGGACGGGTAGGCTCAAGCATGTGCAGTTAGAAGCAAAATGATGGAGTTTAACTGGTATATGACCTTCCTCTAGGAACCCTCGACTGGTAAGGCAAAAACACTTCAAATGAGCACGTGCACAACTGCAGCCAACACACTGCGTATGAGTACCCTCTCAAGTGCTGGCAGGCCACTGCACATGCAGACAGCTTACCCCATGGAAAAATCAAGGGAGGAGAGATACAAAACCCCAGAAGCATGCCAATGTATAAAACCCCAAGTCTAAGGTCAAACAGGCACTTGGATCTCTCAAGTTGTCTGCTTGGCCCTCTTCCATGTGTACTTTACTTCCTTTCATTCCTGCTCTAAAACTTTTTAATAAATGTTCACTCCTGCTCTAAAACTTGGTCTCTCACTGTGCCTTATGCCCTTCAGACAAATTCTTCCCTGCAAGGAGGCAATAAGTAAGTTGCTGCAGAGCCATATGGATTTGCTGCTGCTGACATATTTTGGGATTCTGAAATTTAACCAGTGTTTAGGCCTGGACCTGTTTTTTATTCTTCCTCCTGGACATTTGGTAGGCACTTTCAGTCTGGAAACTAGTGTTTTTCTTTAAGTAAAGCTATCCTCTTATTTGTCTCTGCTTTTAGAACTCTTTTTTGAGACATTCTGGATCTTTCCTTCATGTTAACTTTTCTCTCATTTTTAATTATTTTTCCATCTTTATCTTCTAGATCACAGGTTGAAGTTTATCCATTTTATTATTCATTTATCTACTGTATTTTTATATTGGATATCACAGGTTGATTTCCAGAAACTCATATTCTGATTTGCTTTATTTTTATTTACAAATAACAACCTTTTGTTGCATAATGGATGCAGTTTGCCTGCCTGTCCTTCTGAGGATACCAATGGAAATTTTTGAAAAATTCTCTTCTGTCCTTGAATTTTACTGGGATTGTCTTTTCCCCTGCTATTGGATTTTCTCAGTTTTGATGATCCTTATGTGTTGGACCATATTTATGAACAAAAGACTAGACTGAATGAAACTGGCAGCTGGTCTGGGTTTCTACCATGGTTGTGTAGAACTCTTTTCCTAATATTTTCTCCCTGGAAGAGGCTGACTGTGAATTTTATGTAAGGGCAAAACGTGTTGACTCTCAGGCTTTGCTTTATGTGGACGTGGTGAGGAGCACGCCCCTTCCACTTTGCCAAAATAGAGTGGGCCATATTGCGAACGTAGAAGAAGATTTTGGTGATTTCCCTCTTGGTCAGAGCTACCTTTCTTTTCCTTTTTGTGTGTATTGGGGATAAAGTGGCCTCAAGTTCCACTCTCCTCTATCAGATTTCTATACCCACACGTCTACTGGCCTCACTGTTCTAAATGCTGTTTGTTAATTATCTGATTCTGATTCCTTGGCTGATCCCTGATCTTCATGTTTGTTGACTACAAGCTTGGAAATTTGCAGGAGCCTCCTTGAGAAGATCACTTTGATCTCTTTTGGACTTTTCTGGCTCCTTTTACTTTTTTCTAGCTTTAATATCATTTCATTCTTTTGAAAATATTCTTTCTATCCTTCCACTGGAACTCTGGAAGGGCAGGGGTAGGTAGATAAGTTGTATGTGGGACCAGAACCCCATCTTAAATTCCCCAGTTGTCTTTTCACATTGAGCTGTTTGCCATATGTGTAGAAACTAACTTTCTGAGTGATCTTTCACATTGGAAAGTCCTTAAATTCAGGCTGGACTCAAAATGGTACCATAAACAATGATGGCCAGACCCTTCATGCCAAATAAATACAGGATCTGGTTTTGGTAGAGCAACTGCTATAGCCTCAGGCATTGGCTGCAACTTCTGTTACCTGGCCTAGGCCACTCTGGAGGCCTTTTACCCTGAGTCTCCTGTGACATAAGGTCATGGTCATATGCCTTGGCTCTGTCTCCTCTTGTCTCTGCTCTGACCTTGGTGATGAAGGCCCCTCTCCAACAGCTTTTCCTTCAGCTCTGTGCCAGGAGCTCCAGTGTTGTTTGAATCTCATAGACGGCACTAGTTTGGGTTTGGGTTTTAGCTGCCAAATGGAATTTGTTGAAAGTCAGCTATGGTACGAGTTTGCTTTTTATTTTCTTAGACATGAGTCAAAAAGAATAGGATCTATTCCCAGCTCATCTGGGACTTTTTTTTTTTGGAATGCTCTTTTGCCCTAGTGATTTGTTATTTTAAAGCTAGCATCATAAAGGATAGAAAAGTTAAACTTTGCTTGGTGGAGCCGAGAACCCTGCACCCTAACTCTTCCCTGGACGCCGAATCTCAACGGGGTGACATGTCTTTAGAGAATGTGTTTGGCAGGCTGTGTAAGAGCCTTTTTCTCCCTCCCACCTCTCCTTGGACTGAATCCCTTGAGACCCCCTGCATAGATCAAAGTACTTGGCAGGACCTTTTGCCTTCCCCCTCCCTCTTTGTGAAGCTTTGGAATGAGTCTGATTCTTTTAGGTATTTAGTGGAAGTGCCAGACAGAAGCCTGGGAAGATGCCAGGAGGCATGAGGGGAGCTGGCAACATGCGGACATAATGGGAAAATACTCCCGTTTCACCCCGAAACTGGAATTTTACCACCTTTTACCCAGACCTGCAAACCATGTTGTTAATACTCTTCTCTCCGCTTACACAAAGGCATAACCATCCCCTCTTTTCCATACCTGGATCCTTTCCCATGGAATATGTGACCCATTAGCCAACTGGATGAAGTAACTCTTTCCAAGGCTGCTGCCTGCTTTCCTTTTAGATTTGAGCAGGAGGGTGAGGAGGGGGAAGGCTGCGGCGAGGGTCTGGGGGCAGAACTAATGCGAGCGAGTGAGGGATTTAGGCAGTGGGGATGGAGTTGGTGTGAGGGCCAAATGGAAATATCTTCCCCTGTCTTCCCACTGGAGTGAGAGGGCCACTTATTAAAACTTCCCTATAGTAGTCATAACCTTTTGGAAACTCTCTGCAAATAGCAACTTTTACCATTACGAGAACGGGATAAAGGACAGCAAAAGCATCACTTTTATGTAGCACTGAAAAGAGAAGTGTGGACCATAGATGGAAGCATCTCGGTTGGTTGACTAATGTGGTCTCATAAGGATGTGCTCTTTAACTCTAGAAATACAGCATAAAGGAACAGAGCTGTGTTTGCTCCACTCCTTCAGTAACCATGGCTAAAGGCTGTATTTTCCCAATTTAGTATATTCAGATCAAGGAGGGGAAAGAATGGATGTTTTCTGAATAAGGTATGAATTTGATTATGGAAGTCAAGTTGAGTCATCCGTGTCTCACACATGATCCATGGTAAATACAGTATTGATACATGCTCTGAGACTTGCATGTATTAGGAGAGTGTTAGGTCACTCCAGTCCCTCCTATATTTGTGAATATAATTCTGTACTCTCTTGTTTCTGTTTGCTTATATGTTTTTATCTTAGGTTTCCTCTGTTTTTCTCATTTCTCAACAAGTATTTCGGGAGTACCTACTGTGTTGTCACTCCTTAAAAGCTTTTGAGAAATTCTCTTAATTATTATGTATCTCTTAATTTTCATAATACTGCTACTCAGTACTCTGAGTAGAATGGCATGTGGCAGGTCGTGATGAATGCTGTTGAGCTGTGGGACTTTGTAATTAGAACCACATATATTCTGTTAAGTTTGCAGTAATCATAACTAATGTTTATTGAGCCTACCACTGTCCTTTCTAAACATAATCTCTTTTAATCCATATATGAACCCTATGAGGTAGTTAATATTTCCTTAGTAAGTGGTAGAGTCAAGGTTGTAACTCAGGTCCAGATGATGCCAGCATAGACACTCTTAATCCATACCATTCTGCTTTACAGTGACTTAATGGATACCGTGAGCTTTAATCTTAAGGTCCAGTTAGAAAGACATGTTTCCAGCCAGGTGTGGTGGCTCACGCCTGTAATCCCAGCACTTTGGGAGGCCAAGGCGGGCAGATCACTTGAGGCCAGGAGTTTGAGACCAGCCTGGCCAACATGGTGAAGCCCTGTCTCTACTAAAAATAAAAAAATTAGCCGGGCGTGGTGGCATGTGCTTGTAATCTATCAGCATATTCTCTGCTGTGGAGAAAAGTTGGGTGACTAGATATTTATTGTAGCCTATAGGTTCTACTCAGTAGGAAGACAGCTGTGATTGTTTGAGTATAGGTTTACAACATAGCCTGCAGCTGTACAGTGATTGCATCAATTCTCACTGAGCAGATTCAAAATGGAGATAATACTTATGAGAAGCTGATCAAGAAATGTAAGGGAATCAGGAAATGGTATGGGTGATGGAGTTCATTAGGGATGAATCAGTAATGATGTCATTGTGTTCCTTTGATGCGTGGAGATGGGTTGTGAAAGCTGTGTTCTGACTTTGAGATAGCAGCAGTGGGCAATGAGAGAGGAGTCTCATTCTGACTTCACAGCTGCTCATAGTGATTGTGTATAATGTTATAGGTCACAAAATTATCATATGAGAAACAGTAGTATTGAGGGTAGGAAATGCATTATTATAAAGACAAACTTTTGAATTTGGGGGCAATTAAATTTGAGAGCAGAGTATTGGGAAGAGGTAAGAATAATGCCTAAAAGCAAAGCCTGTGAGGAAGACTGTCTGGATTCCATTGCTGCTCTATTGCTTATTAGCTCCGTGACTTTGAGCAGGTCCCTAACCCCCTCTGATTCTTTCTTCATCTATAAGATGTGGATGGTGATATACCTGCCTCATGGGGTTGGGTGAGGATTAAATGAAATAATCCTGTGAACAGACTCAGAACAGCACTTGGCACATCCACATGTTTAGTACATTTGTTAAATTTTGTTTCTGCAAATGTTGATGGTTATTTCTGTTGCCTTTACTGTAGCTATGATCAACCTAATTATTATCATTACCACTTCCCTTTTGGAGCCCTTTTGTCCTACATGAATTGTGACTTCCAGCTTTATCTAATCACACACGAAGGTGTTTTTTTTTCTTTTCCCCCAAGATATTTTAATCTTGCTGTTTCCTTAATCTAGAATCCACAGTAATTTCCTGCTTCCCACCATGCTAAATATAAACTCTGTTTGCCAGGGGTTCATACCTATCCCTTTGCCAGTGGGGTCCCTCCCTCCTCATTGTTTAACCATGTCTTTCATAGTTTCCCAGTTCAGTCTTTTAGCCCCAGGTCCATGAATCGGCCCACCCTCCTTTCTACTGGGCTTGATGTATGCCATCTTCCCATGATGGGCTTTTTTTTCTCCACCATGTACTTCCCAGCCTTCGCCATTCATTTCTGCATCTGCTCTTCCGGGACAAGTCTTCCCTGACTGGTCCCACCTGATTGGTCTGCACTTTAACTTTGCAACCTGACATCTTATATTTATAGAAATGCTGCTTTGTGTTCTTTTACATTCTATATTTTGCTGTTCCTCTACCTAAATATTAAACTTTTCAGGGATAGGGATTTACTGAATCTTACATCTGCCAGGCAGAGATTATATCTGTTATCTTCATCATGATATCCCCAGTGCAGTTTTTCAACAACTGTTTTTCATTGAAGAAATCTTTAAAAGATTGTATTCACTCTTTGCATACAGTTGCTTAGCAAATACCCTTAAGTGAATCAATTAAACACCTATCTCATTTTATGGAAGAAATGCTGGGATCCATTGTGGATCTGTAAATTCTCTAAACATCTTAATGAAAGCCTTCATTTAAGAATAGTAGTAGTAGTTTTAAATTTCTATTTTACTTTACAGTAGGGAGAAAGCAAGTTTTTATTTATTTTTAAAGTGGCTCTTATTTTCTTAGCATGTAACTATTTAATATCATGTATATACACATCTTTAAAGCTATTTAGGCTGTATTTATTATGTGAGAGGTACTGTTTAAATTTATTTTTCCTGCATCATAATTGGATGCCTATAGTGTTATAGAAGTGATATTATATGGCCAACTAAATATATGGGTACCTTGGAGGAAACTTTAACCAGAATTTTAGTTTTCCATTTCTTTAAAGGTTAAGAACTTTGCTCCCTTATTGTAAATTAGGATTCCTGTGTATTTCTATTCTTTCATTCTTTCTGTTTACTCAATAGCCAAACCAGATTTCCCTGGAAGAAAACATTCTGGTCTCCCGTTATATTAACAACCCCCTGCTCATAGATGGTGAGTTGTGATTAAGCCCTTGACCAAATTGGGCCAGATCTTTGCTAAACTTTTTAAACTTTTCATAGCCTTCTCTAGTAAGTCTTTATTATACGGTTGTGAAATTCTCGACATGTGTGGCTCCAGAAAGGCAGCAGGTTCCTTACCTATCTCTTGGGATTTATTTGAAAGTGAAATGAGACAATATAAGAGAAAGTGCTTTATAAGTTATATAGTAATTAATATATGTATGAAAATTATGCAGTAATATATATGAAAATGACATATACACATATACATTATATATACATTAGGGTTATATTAATGTATATATACATTATACTGTTTTTATTATGTACTATATACATAATATACTATGTATATGGTACCATTATATAGTATAATTATTAGTTATCCTCCAAAGTCAAGGTATGTGGGCAGTGTGTGTTTCATGTGGAGAGGAGGAATGTTCTTTCTTTCACGTTTCTTGGTTTCATTGTTTATTCTGTAACAGGAAACAAATGAACTTAGTTTTTTTTGTGTGTGAATACATACTTTTTTTTTTTAGATTTCAAGTTTGATGTGCGCCTCTATGTGCTGGTGACTTCCTATGATCCTCTTGTCATCTATCTGTATGAAGAAGGATTGGCTAGGTAAGAAGCTGTTTTGGGGTGTAGGGGTTGGGTGGGTATATTAAGAGTGGACCCATTAACAAGTTTATTAAATCAGATCATGCTATTTTCACTTGTCATTACTGCTTACAGATGCAACCCACCTCCTCAACTGCTGTGCTCTGTAACATCAAAGCCACTATGCCTAAAAAGAACTTCAGAAATTAGGCTTATTTGTCTGTAATCTCACTGCATGTCCACACATAAGGTGCGTAAACATCTTCCCCAGCACTGATCCAGGATCATATGGTATTTTCCTGCAGTGACAATTGTTATGACGCTCCTAGGATATTAAGATAATTTGCCATTGTTCTTCAGGATAGATGTAGAAAGAAAAATAAAATCCTACCTTTATTTGCCTATTATATGCCAGGCATTTATTTTCATCCTCGCAACAACCTTTTAGTTAATGCATTTTTGCAGTTGAGGAAACAGATTTAGAGGTGGGAGAAGTGGAATGCGGATTTGACCTCATGGATCTGACTCCAGAGCTCAGAGCTCAGACTATTTCATATTTAGAAAGTATTAATTGAGGTTTTTTTTTTTTTTCTTAACATGCAAGTGACTTTACAGTGGTTGTACATACATTGTTCTCTTTTTGTTAAGGTGCTTTTTTTTTTTTTTTTTTGAGATGGAGTCTTGCTGTGTCACCCAGGCTGGAGTGCAGTGGCGCGATCTCGGCTCACTGCAAGCTCCGCCTCCCGGGTTCACGCCATTCTCCTGCCTCAGCCTCCCAAGTAGCTGGGACTACAGGCGCCCACCACCACGCCCAGCTAATTTTTTGTATTTTTAGTAGAGATGGGGTTTCACTGTGTTAGCCAGGATGGTCTTGATCTCCTGACCTCATGATCTGCCCGCCTCGGCCTCCCAAAGTGCTGAGATTACAGTTGTGAGCCACAACACCTGGCCTGTTGAGGTGCTTTTTAAGTTTTAAGGTAATGTGACTTATGAGATTAAGTTGAAGTTGTTATATTTTGAAGTTTTGTTTCCTATAGCCACAGAATTTTATAGGTAATTGTTTTCATAAACCCTTTAAATTGTTTAAAATAAGTATGCAACTACTATGCTGTGTTCTTCTCCCCAACAAAACTAAATTTTTGTATTAGCCAGCTAGTTTGCCCTGAAGTTCTTTTCATGCGTAGTGCCTTTGATATAGAGCAGGGGTGTCCAATCTTTTGGCTTCCCTGGGCCACACTGGAGGAAGAATTGTCTTGGGCCACACGTAAAATACACTAACAATAGCTGATGAGCTTAAAAAAAATTGCAAAAAAACTCATAATATTTTAAGAAAGTTTATAAATTTGTGTTGGGCCACATTCAAAGCGGTCCTGGGCTGTATGCAGCCTGTGGGCCTCAGGTTGGACAAGCTTGTTATAAAGCATAGCAGTTTAGGAGGTGGTTTGCATCTGTGAGTGGTCACAACAAGCTAAAAAAGCCAGGTCTGTGTATGTTTCTGTATTTTAGAAAATACAATTGGAAGATGGGAAATACTATGGATAAAAGAAGGCTACCTATTTATGTACAGGTGCTTTGACAAATATTATTGTACTCTGACAACTATTATTTTAGAATGGTCTTTTAATGATTTTAGAGACTTAGTTTTTTTGAAAGGTATCCTATGACTTGAAATCAGTGAAAGTGGACTAACCAAACCTTCTCGCTGGTGGAGTTCTGTGTTCCACTCCCCTCTAGGTGGCAGTGACAGCATTTATAAGTCCCGTCACATTCTTAACTCAGATTTTGAGTTTGAGCCCTGGGAACATTGGAGACTACCAAAACTCCCTAGTTCTGGCCTCTTGTTTCTTGAAAATTAAGAAAGGGAAGAACTGAAACATCTCCCAGTTATTAGATAAAGGGCTGAACCAGGCATCTGAACATGAGCTGACTACTAGCTCTAATCAGGTTTTTATAGGAAAGAAATTGTTGATAATGTTTGTAGACACATGTGCTCTCATGAAGGATCACTATACAAAATTAGGTATAAAAGCCTATTCCTGGCCAGGTGTGGTGGCTCACACCTGTAATCCTAGTACTTTGGGAGGCTGAGACGGGAGGATTGCCTGAGGCCAGGCGTTCAAGACCAGCTTGGTCAACATTGTGAGACCACATCTCATGAAAAAAAAAAAAAAAGAAAGAAAAAAAGCCTATTCCTTATATTATTTAGAACAAAATGAAAGTAAAATACACTCCTAACTTCTCAGATATGCAAGGTGCTGAGGATTTTCAGCTTTATAATTTGAGACTTCTGAGCTTTCTCTCTTTTGTATTATAAGTTTCATCATTCTCCTTCCTCTGCTCATCCTCACCTTAACTTCTCTCCTGTGTCAAGTTTTAGAAACTGATCATGTCCTGCCAAAAATTGGACTTTGGGAATAGAGAAAAGAGATGGAGGTTGTGCTTCACTGTTTCTCAAGGATATCATACCAGTATATTTTGCTTAATATTCCAAAGATATTGTCACCAACAATATTAACAGCCCTCTCTATGGGTGAAATTTGGCACAATTTTAAGACCTTTCGGGTTCAGAGCACAATGTGAGAACAACAGCACCAATGTTTATTATAGAATTTACTACAAATATGCAAGTGCTTTGGCTAACTGGTTGTGTGTTGGAAGTCAGAATCTACTGAATTAAGTATAACCCTTTTGCTTCCAGCAGAAACAAAAAAATTTATATATATACATGTAGTCAATGGATGTTTTTTCTCAGGATAATTAGAAAAACAGCTTTTAAAAAACTCAGACCAAGTGGGCCAGAAAACAACATGAATTTTCGGGGCTTTGGTTAGGTTTACCTGAAAGTGTAGGTGAATAAAAAAGCTTTATCAAAGCTTTACAAAAGCATGACGCATGGCAATATGATGCGCTGTTTGCGAGAGTCCCGTGAGGGCACATTGTTCCGTGCAGTAATTTCAATGTGTCTAAGTTCTTGTGTCTTCACTTATTCTGTATCTTGACATTCACTTGCTTTGTTGTAACCCTCAGAGTCTGTTCAACTATGTCGATAGTCTATAGCATCTCCAGATCTGCAGCTTTTAGTTATCTTGGGCCACATGTATTTTATGTAGACATAACTGAATACAATCAGTTTGGGATGAGATTACTGGGTTACATTGAGGCTTAACAAGAAAAACCATCATCTTTCCTAAAGAGATGGAACAGGAGGCAAATACAATTCACTTCCTTCTTTAGAAATGAATTCTCTTACACCCTGTCACTTCTGTTTTGGACCTCAAATTAATGCTAGGTGATAGAAAGATTAAGTTCATTTCACAAGACAGTTTTGTGATATCAGTTATTTTGTGTAAATTTTTTTACACAAAATTAAATTTGCGAAAACCCTAGTTTCTGTATAGGTGAGTGTTTTTAGTTGTCCTTATTGTTTTATTAACGTAAGAAGTGGGAGAACTCTGTTTTCTATGTGTGGGTAAAATATTGAAGAAGTGTTGCAATTGTTCCCCCTGGTATTTGGGTGCAGCTTTTTGTGATTGTCGCAGTAGCCCTCAGAGGTCCCCTGTGCTTTTGAATTTTGCTTGCGTGTTGCTGTTTTGCACCACCAGGGGACACTCAGTTTCCACAGAGGGGTGCTGTGCTCTACCAAAATGGTGCAGATTCTTTTTCCCGTCAGGGGTGGAATCCCAAAAGATTTTGTCCTGGATTTTACAGCTTTAGGTGGATCCAGTATTGGGTTTAGATGATTTGACAGAGCCCTTTCTGAGATGAAGCTAACAGCCCGATTTTCACTGAAACAGGAAAAATAAAAAGTTCAAAAAAATTAAAACAAAATGGAGTTAAAAACCAAATGTGTTGCCAGAGACCCAAAGATAGGCAGCTCTAGCAACTTGGGGGGCGTGTGAGTACCCATCCAGGGAGCTGAGTTCCACCCATGCGGCGGAGGTGGGAGGAGAGGACTCTGGGAAGGTCCTGGTTGGAACAGCCTTTTTTCTGCCTCAGCCATATTATTCAGTGGAAATTCAGAAAAGACCCTAAAACATTTGTACTGCCTTTCCCTTTCTCCCCACCCCCAGTTCCTTCTTCAGTAGCCTTCCTTGCTAATTAACACTGGCTCCGCAGGGATATTTACCTTTTCTCTGCTGGATTCCTGTGGTTTTGAAAGAATTCAGGTACTTGCTGGTTGCCAAGGAATTCAGATTACCTCACAGGCTGCACACTGTCCAGAATCTGCCACAGCAGCAAGTAGGGGGAAGAGACACCAACAAGGGGGAGAAAACCCTTTCCAGTGCTCATTGTCACCCTCCCTGAAAGGCCCTTGCTGTTTGTGAAGTTTGAGTCATTTCTGGCTCTAAAGACAAGGGATCAGGCTGGTAATCCCCTCCCAGACGGCTCTGTAGGGCGCTGCCTAGTCACTGCAGCGCTTTGGCAGTCTCCCGGCTGCAGCTGGTTGACAGCAGATCAGAGAGCTCTTGGGCCTCTTGTTCTCTTCCATAAGATTTTTCTGGGTCAGGCCAGGATGAAACCCAGTGGCTCCTGGCAAGGCTGCCTGAGGTGCTGTCTCTTCATCATCCAGACCGCTCTGGCTCAAAATGCCTACACCTGTTGAAGGATAACTCATGTGCCACAGCGAGGGGCTCCTCGAGGCTGGCCTTCTCTTTTCTTTGTACATTTGTAGTGAATGTTTGTCAGGAAATATAACTACCAAAGAGGATGTTAAACTTCTGCGTCTAGAATGCCTATGACTCTGACCATAAGAAGATATGGTATAAAAAAAAAAAGCTTTTAAGAAAACAGCAGGACAGAAAAAAAAAAAAGAATATGTGGGGTCATATTCTTAGAAGAACAGACTAGTTTTTGAATAGGGGAAGGGAGTTTAAAAGATCCCACTAACTCTCTGGTTTCCTTCTTGTTTTGGTTCCATATTGGTAAAGATCTTGGAGCAAGCAACTCCAGTGCAGTTTCAGTTAATGTTTGCCAAGTCCCTACCATATGCCAAACATTGAAATCTTTTCTCCATACAGACATTC